GCTTTTATCTATCAAGGGTTGAGAAAAGAAAAAGGACACCTTTTATTTATTTCATTCTCGGATGGATGTACGCTATGGTAACGTTAGGTACATTTTGCACATTAGCATTGCGCTGAAATAGAAGAAAACAAAATAGAAATTCACCGGTTGGAAAGCAGATTTGAACACAAACTTGTCACGACACAGGCAGAGCACAATTGCACGGACTGAAACGCTCGGTTATCGCTCAAATACGTTTTGATCAATAAATCTCATTTTTCCAACATGAAGCGCATTTCATTTCGCTCACCCAGGACATGTGTGTCAAATATTTGTTTTTTTTTAATGCATCAGCAAAATACTAGTAGCTGACTCCGGATGAACTCAACGTTGTTGCCCTTTTGCCTTGTCATTTCTTAATCAGTCTGGGCACATCTCCACTTAGTAGCAGTAAACAATGGTCCCGTGTGTGAGTTCCTGCGCTATGTGGCGAAACCATTTCGGTGACGGTAAAAATGGGGAGGAGTGGAGAAGGTACGAGAGAGAGAGAGAGAGAGAGAGAGAGAGAGAGAGAGAGAGAGAGAGAGAGAGAGAGAGAGAGAGAGAGAGAGGGCTCACATTTCACGCCTTCCTCTGGAGAGGATATTTAAAATGACACATGCGTAGATTGATGACAAGATGGGGAAAAAAAAAAAAATGAAGAGTGGCGCGTCGAGGAGATGGAGGTCTCCAAGGTAGCGGAGCGGTTACTATGCACTCTGTGAATCCTCCCCCCGGGACCCCTTTTGCGACGTCTGCAACATGCTTGTCAGAGATCCACTGCGGGGCTATATTTAGGAGGATGACACGAGGCAGGCGACCTGCAAGAGTCACAAACTAAGTGGGCACGGAAGGAGAAAAAAAAATATGAAAGGAACATTTTAGAACTTCTTCATGTTCCAGTGGGTTGCACAAATATCACACTGCAAGGTCATTTTTATTAAGTGTCCCACAAGTGCCTTGACGTAAGAGGAGGTTATTATGTTTGAACAGCGAGGTTGTAGAATTCAGAATGAAATGCATCAAAAGGCTGGATTTAAAGGTAAGAAAACGGTGGGGTGATTTGTCGTGGGAAGCTAACGTGAAGCCAGCGTCATGTATCAATGACAATGTCCAGAGTACGGAAATATTTTGATGTGGAAAGCGGAGACAGGGCAGCTGCGACTCGCGGTGTGTGCAAATCCAAATTTCGCGTGACACAAAGGATGGAGCTGCGGTTTACACAGCTAATTCAATACGCCACTTGAAAAACGGACGTGGAAAAAAAAAAAGGATTTAAATATTTTACTTGGTTCGAACCAATGTTCCACACTCAATAAGCGCATTGGCGATGGTGGCTGTCCTTTCCAACATGAGACGGCAAGACAGTAAGCAGTTTATTTGACAATGACATTTAAGATAAGCCACAGATTCCCTGAGAAAGATGGAACTTCTGCAGCATGCATCGGTGAAAAAAAATAAATAAATAAATCCACCCAAAAAATTCTGTGGTATATCAGGGGTGCAAATGACTGTAAATCGAAGCTCCCCTCACACCGTCAATCAAAAGGGAGTTTTCCCCTCTTTCCATTGCATTGGCTCTCGATTGACTGCACAGGTGTACCTCATGTTGTGCTCTTTTAATTTAATCAGAGATGTTCAACACCAAATACACGACTCTCTCTCTCTCTCGCTGTATCCGTCGATGTGCAACTATTTGTGCATGAAGCAAAGTGACAACTGTCGTTTATATTTAACAACTTGCATCAGTGTGACAGCAGTGATGAGGAGCCAGACAGAGATGGACCAGCGGGAAGTGGTCAACATGTTGTTTACACGCGCGTTGCGATTCACAACTCTGAGTCTCACTTCAATGTGGAAGTGAAATCAGAGCGCAGATTGTTTGAACGCATCGGGGACACATTTGGAAGAGAGAGGCTGTCGGGTGTCCGACAATTACAGGCGGGGTCACTGAACACTTAAATTAGAATTACGTGTGATTGTGAATCTTTATTTGTATATGTTTATCTATTATGTGCCCTGTGATTGACTGGGCTACGGGTCCTGGATGAAGCCTGCGCCTCTTGCCCGCGAGTTCAGCTGGGATAAACTCCATTTCACTCGCAGTCCTAATGGGAATAAACTGTCAAAAATTGATGTAACAGGTAACAAAACTGCAAGAACTTGACAAAGAAAAAATACAACACCAAAATGGTCAAAAATACAAAAACTAGGGCACTTTATGTAGAAAGTCTTAGGTTGCTTAATGTCAGAAAACTCACATGCACATCTCTACTCATCCTCGCACCAGCCTCTGAAAATATCAGCACAAGTGCCAGCGTATTTGGGATTTTAGAGACATTCAGCCTTTTTCTCCCTATACAGATGTTCACTAGAGAAAACGCTTGATATCGTTTAGTGTTAGATAACTATGACCTGTAGTCAGGAAAATTCATGTGCACATCTCTGCCCACATCAGTCTCGGAAAACATAAAACAATTGTACCAACACTTTGGATTTTATGGACATTTATTGTGAAGGTCTAAGGGGAGATGCCAATAAAATCCAAATTACTGTCACAGTTGTTTTGATATTTTCGGAGTGGGTATGAGCAGAGGTGTGCATGTGAATTTTGGTGATACTGTCCCTAGCAAACGTCGTATGCTGCAAAACACCAACTGTATTTGTGAATGTTGATCTTTTTTTTTTTTTTTGCTGCACTGACATTCACATTTCAAGACGTTAACACATTTGGCCTACTGTCAGAAGCCGACAAGGTCCGCCGGCCAGAGCAGCACTATGTTTGTTTACGAGTAGATTTGTGACTAAAACCCTCGGCTGTTATACAAAACAAAACATACAATAAAAACAGCCACGTCGTTCACAAGAATTGCGAAACAACTACATAAAGTCCAGTTGCAGTGGAATGCAAAACCCCATTACATGAGGGGCCCGGGGGTCCCCTAAACCCATGCAAACTGTACTTGCAAAAGAGATGCATTCATTCCGTCTGGATACTTCCAACCAAAATAGGCAACTCGTTATTTTTTGTATTTAATTGTTTATTTTCTCACCACTGCATTCACACTGATGCGATACAGCGCGTGCTCTCCTTTACAGGCAACTCTCAACTAGCCGGGCAGCTACTAGTAGCGAGATTAGGTAGCAAGTTTAAAATCGCGAATAAAAGTCTTCTCGTGTGCAGGTTCGAACCGAAGTACTACGAGCTGCTGACATGCCTTGGCGCCAAAGCGCCGGAGGAGCGACCCAAAGCTTCCCACGCCCGCTCTGACAGCTCACGTCGGGCTGGCTGCGTAGCTAGCATCGATGCTAAGCGCGGAGCTCGTTAAATGGGCGAAGCCATTCACTCCGTGAGTTCCGATACAATCGGCGCTCCATACGGGAGTTTGAACTCACCTCCCCGTCCACGACATCGTGGTAAGCGGGCGGAGGGTCGAAGCCGCTCGTCCCCGTTCTCCCGCTCGTCTCCCCGTCGCCGTTCGTACTCAAGGCGGGGGCAGGCCCGCTCTCCATGGGCTCATATCCGTAGCCGAGCCCCGGGCTTTCGTTGGTCAGAAGGGCGACCGCCTCGTTGATGTCGTTCTTGGCCAAGCGGAGCGCCTTCCTAATCACGTCGGGGTCCGGGAAGCCCATGCAGAGGAGCGTGGTGATGTGCTGCTCCTCTTCGGTCTCCATGTTTGGGGTGTCTCTGCGTAGACAGCCTAGGACCGACGGGGTTTGGGGCACAGCCCTGTAGCTGTGCACACCGCCATGTTTACAGCCCCGCTGCTGAGTGACTTACTGTCAAGATCTGGCTTCCCCCACTACAGCGCCCACACAGGTGTTAGGCGCACTTCATGAGACTCGGAAACGGCATCTTCCCCGTTGGAGCGCGCCCATACCACAGCCAAAAGCTTCAAATATAAATATTCCGAGTCATATTACATTTGTCACACATGTTTTTGAGACTACAGTACAAAAAAAAATCGTAGGAAAAACTGTCTAATGTGCACCAAATAATATGGATTATTTAATATTTATTAGCGATTGTCGCCGTTGTTTTGTCTTTTCCCGAATGAGAGTAAATTCACCATTCTTTGTCATATAATTTTCCAGTTGTCTCACGATGAATTTGTATTTTAGGGATGAAATTGTTTTTGATGTTGCAATTTCTGTTTAAAATATTTGTAATCTGTTACATATTGTAATGTTTGAATATTGCTGTTGTTTGTTAGGGGCACGTGTTGACAAATTTGTCACGCTGAACGAAACATCACGTCTCCCCCCTCATTTTCGGCTGTTTAGATTTTAATCCAATGTGTTGACGTGATTGTTTAAAATTTCATTCGATTTTTGTTCTTCTTTGAAATATGTTAATTTGGTGTCAGTTCTGGATCCGATTCACACTTTCCTCAAGACGAAACCGATAAGCGCTTCGTGGGTTAATTCCCAGCAAAAATTACAGGCTCATTATTATAAGGGCGTGGCAGTAAGTGAAGAATAGCGGAAGTTGTTGAGGTGGCGGGCGGAAGTCACGTGTCTTCAACTCACGTGAGAGAGAAAGCACAGACATAAACGACGAACAAAAGGCCCCTCATGAAGCCAGAGGGCAGCCTTCTTACGTTGCCTCTGATACCGACGGTTTTTGTTCGGTTTTCGAAAGAAAACACTGTTATCAGTACGTGATTTACGACAGCATCATTGTAAGGAGTAATAAGAGCCTCTGAAAGAACAAACTTCACTGTCTGCATCAACCATTCAGAGTTTACTACAGATATGTCATACAGATGTTATAATGATATATTTGTAGATGGACTACAGTCTAAATTAATGTTTGCCGTGAAAACAGAAATAAACTGTGAAAATACCGCGGTGAAAGCTATATGTTGATGTTTCGAGCACTGAGCAAGTAGCAACGTAAGATGGCCGCCCGGGTGTTTCCGGTGGCTTCACTTCTCCCGGCGACGAGAAAGCGGCATTCTTAGACCTTTGCTATATACGTCCGTGAGAGAAGGGAGGAGGGAGTCAAAACAGACACAAAATGGCTGCCGTAGGAGACGACGCTGCTGCAATGGACAGCATTTCCAAGGCGCCCGGGGCCCATCCCGCGCCTCCGAACGCCGCCGCGGATTCAATGAGTCACGGGGAAAACGACGAGAACGTGAAGGAAGCACCGGTGCCCGTGGTTAAAAAACTCAACACGAACAGTGAGCGACCACCGTTCCAGCTTCCGTAGCGTGCTAATGCTAATGCCTCACAACAACCGAATCGCTATTTCTTCCAGTGACGTGTGCTGGTTAAATTACTAGTTTTTAAAAAAGTCAATAATTTGTTTGCTCAATTACTGTTCAAATGAGTGTAAACAGGTTAACAAAATATTTGCAAAATCTTGATATTATTTATTACACATGACAATTTGACATTTCGGTACAGATTTTTGCGAGGGTCGTGCACGATTTGCTTTCGCGGGCCACGTAAAATGACGTGGCGGGCCGGATCTGGCCCCCCGGGACTTAAATTTGACACCTAATAATTTTAGATTATTCCCTTTGCTTACTCGAGACGATGGTGGTGTGGAAACGGCAGAAGAAGCTGTGGAGCCTGCTGAGCCTGACATCAACGTGTTGTGTACCGACATGTTTGAAAAGATGGCCATCTTTCTTCAAGGAGAACTCACAGGTGCGTGTATATTTGTACTAGTTCACTTATTCCACGTTTTGTTTCACCATCCAGAATGCAGCCATTCTTTTTTTTTTTTTGTGTGTTTGACCACATTCTTATGGTCCTTTTTCCAGCCACTTGCGAAGATTATCGTCTGTTAGAGAACATGAACAAACTGACGAGTCTGAAATACATGGAAATGAAAGACATCAGCATCAACATCAGTCGAAACTTGCAGGATCTCAACAATAAATGTGAGTCATACATAAAACTAGCATCATCCTCAACCGAGGAATGACCAGCGCCTTTGTATTGTTCACCTTTGTGTGTTTTCTCAGATGCTAGCCTTCAGCCCTACCTAGATCAGATCAATCAGATTGAGGAGCAAGTGTCTTCGCTGGAACAAGCGGCATATAAACTGGACGCTTATTCCAAAAAACTAGGTGAGAAATGCATACACTTTTTACACACCCAATAAAGGCATTAAAATCATCTTTACTCATGGAGGCAGCACTTAGTATGCTACGCTTGGTTGTACGTGCTGCCTCCATGTCGACAACTTCCCCGTGGAAGCAAGTAGATGATGTTTTATCGAAAGCCAGCGCTGTTTGTTAAAACTACAGAGTAAGCTCCGCTTCAAGAAAGACTCACTGCAGCTCTGCTTAGATGGGAGTAACGGATTCTAGAAACTACGACCGAAGCGTCTTGCATCAGTTTGTGTTGGGCATCCAGTTCTCCAGCAGGTGGCGGCATCGCCCGACAAATCAACTTGTGCTTCTCTCTGCAGAGGCCAGATTCAAAAAACTGGAGAAGCGATGAAGGCAAGACACCAGGCACATGTAGTTTTCCGTCCGTCACCTGGTCTAATCCCGATTTGATGTCCGGTGCGTGCACAGCAAGGCGGGAGGACACAAACAGACATTTGAGGCCACTTTGACTCCTTTATTAAAAAAAAAAAAAGGCTTCCTGAGGTGGGAGCAGCTCAAGGCTGCAGTGTTTGGACTTAGATTTGAACACGCAGATCGCAAAGTGACGCAGCAGAGGTTGTACAACCGTGAGTGTGCACTTTATTGAAAGCGCAATAGCCTCATCCTGATTGAATGGTAGCTTGTGATCTATCCTTGATTCATGTCACCAATCGAAGCATGTTCAGAGAACGACTGAAGGCAAACCTCCCCTTCTTCAATAGTAGCCTGACATGTGTTTAATATGAGTGAAATGTTCTATGGTGTAATATATTTACTAATACTTAACATTATTATTAATGTTTTTTTTTTGTTTTTTTTTAATAAACCACGATGTGTACTTGATTGCTCCCACTTTTACATTTACTTACCACAACACAAGGTTGACATTTACCTCTGCAAAGAAAATAATGCTCCATTTTGATTGACAACGTCCATTATGTTTCTTAATATGGTTGTCGCACTAAGAGCTGCTGCTATTGTTTCACCACAATAGAAGGAAATAAGTCTATTTTTTGACAACTCTTGTATTCATCCTATCCGGTGTCTTTGCATTAATCATACTTCATCAATGAAATATCAGCACTTAAAGAAAACAATCAAACTCATGACTGTGGAGGAAACTGCCTCCCTTGTCTTTATTTATACAACTGGTCCAAGATATAAATGCAACACTTGTCTTTGCTGCCATTTATTTTATGAGCTGACCTCACAGGTCATGGACTATTTCTCTCAAATATTGCTCAGGAATACGTAGTCACGTGGCGCAACAGACGGCGCTCGGTTAACTCTCTTCTTTCAGCTGTTGATTTGAGAGTTTCATACCTGCGGATTGCGAGTGGCGACTAATCATCGTAACTCAGGTTGACTCATCCGCAGTTTCCCACCAGGGGATACTTGATAGGTCTTGCATATGTGTGTGCGCACGCGCGCGCTTGTGTTTGTGTAAGGCCTAATCTAAACCAGGTCTCTGTCATTAGTCCAGCTGGGGCCCCAGCACATGGAGTTCGCTCATTATTCATACTGTAATATTATTTACTGTTGCACTGTGATCCTTCCATGTCCACGAGATGCCAACAGTCAGTCGAGCCACAGGGAAAGTAATTATCGGAAAATGTGCTCTTGGATTACTCAGTGCGTGTGAAATAACATACAAATAAGGCCATTATCGTAACAAAACATTTTGGGGGCGTGGAAATGGACTGTGATTGCTTTACTAAATGCTCATTAGTAAATAATATGGCGACTGCAGCGCCGTAGCAGATTTCTTTTCACGGAACGGGACAAGAAATTTGTCGTAAGCTAATGAAAAGCATGAACAGAAGGGCGCTCGGTTCGTGGCAGTGCTGACGTACGTGGTTTTTGAGGTTACGAAACACTCACAATGAACTGGTTTGCTTAAGAATATGTGGTCAGGCGGCACAAAAAGACACGCTCATTTACTCCTGTATTTGCAGATTTTCTTTTGATTGTTTGATATCTAAGGCCTGCAAGTGCTTTTCGTATTAAAATTTTACTGTTGTTCGCATGTTATTGATGGACTATGGTGCTTTCCAGGGAAAAAGTGGATTCAAATACAAAATAGTGTCAAAAAAAGCATGAAACTGACAAACCTAACAAAAACGGGGCAAACAAACTTAGATCTTGCCAATACAGACAAAAATTGGCAAAATGTTTTGATAAATATATATTCACATGAATTTGGCTTGTCATCGCTATCGAAACGAAAATCTGTCGTCGTAAACCGAGAACCCAGCGTACCGCCATCCAATCCCGTGATGGGCAACTGGTGGTAGTGATTTTTGAAAATGTTTGCCGTGGATGAGCAATTTGAAGTTGTAATAACCGCGTTCAGCACTAGATGGCAGACATCACTTTGGAGCAACTCCAACCCCAAGACTGCATTTCTCTACCAGGGAAGGAAAGCCAGTCCTGGCAAGAAGCTGGAATGAAATTTGGTTACGAAATTCGTGTGTTCAGGTAAAATAGGAAGCAGATTACATGTTCAAATTTAAAACGCAAATCTTATCAGCCTAGTTTGGCCCAAGACGCCACCAGCCACGAAAGATTTCAACCTCAGCCACCACAAGAACACTGATTGCAAAAGTACACAAACAGAGATTTTATTTATTTTTTTTCATCGCAAGAACCGGAGACAGTTCATTTGAAGATGAGGAGCTACAAAGTCTGTGTGTGTGTGGGTGGGTGGGTGGGTGTGTGTGTGTGTGTGTTACAGCGGAGTCGTAACGGTTCTCTTGAAAGTGGCTCCAAATGTTCCCCCAGCCTCCCTGATCATCATGAAAAGAAAACCTTTGTGCTGATGGTGCTCATTATGTGTATGCACACGCAATCCAAAAACGCAACTATTTCAATAAATCTATCCATTACCTGAAGCGCTTATCTTCAAGCTATTCAAAAATAAAAAAATAAAATAAAACGTCCCCTTAGTATGCAACAGTCCCCAAAACAGAGCATCATCATAGTCGCTTTTGTATGGTAATGTGCGGGTGAAACGTCCTGAGGTGTCCTCTGTAGTTTCAGCTGACACTACAAAATAATGATCCCCAGTCTGGGTCCTTTTGACATTCAGCTCCACCGGGAGTTTCCCAGGAAAAAAAAAAAAGCATCTTGAGCAAATGAAAGTGGTGCTCAAGCTCCTCACTCCATAAATCTCAGTTAAGTGGAGACCGAGCCCGGCGAACAACAACAAGGCACGCCGCCACGCCGCAGAGTTGTGTGACAGAACAAACCAGCGAGCAGAAAGATTGTGAAAGCCTTCTCGTCAATAAAAGCGGACACAACGGTCACTGAGAAAGTCATTTCAGTGGCCGTGTTTGTTTGGTGTTTTTCCAGAAATGTCCCAAACAAATCAGACTGTTGCAAAACGCTGGTCTTTGTCTGTACAGACTTCCCAAAAGTCCTTCAGAAGCGGCCGGGGAAAATATTGTAGCATGAAATTATAATTGTATTATTATTATTAATTTTTTTTTGCATAAAAGTCCAAATGTGCAGCTGTTATGGTGTGTTGACTATGCAGTTTTGTATTTATGTATAATAGGGAAAAAAAAATCGAATGCTTGAAAGACGCACTGAAAATCTTGATTAAAAAAATAAGTCAATTTTAATGAACATTTCTATGTAAATATGTCAGTTCGTAGCCATAGGTTAGTTCCCATCTGTAGTTCATTGGCAGGTTGGCATCTCGAGTATAAACACAGTAGAAATAGAAAGAAGGCAAGAAAATACTTCCTGAAGTCTATTTTAACTATCGAGGCTTTCCCTTTTCTGCATTTATATGCCAGAAGGGATTTGTTTATTTATTGATTTATCTATCTGTTATCCGTATTGTAGCGGTGATGGATGAACCTGACTTGTAGAAAACCTTCGGAGAAGATTTCTGTGTACGGCCTTGCCCCTGGCGCGTTTGCGAAAGTCAGTCCTTGACGTAAGCATTCATCGGCAAATTGGAAAGTGCCAATTTTGTGACAATGGCAGACATGATGAAAGGGCCGTCCATGCTGCTGCCATCATAACTGCAATTCACACCAAAAAATACTTCTTGTCGTTTCAATTCAATATTGCGTCCATTTTAAAATAGAATTTTCAGTTCAGACTATGTATCGGCTCTTATTCAGTCTTATGGGTGCCTTGAAACCAATTAAAAAAAAAAATCTATTTCCCCTGCAGTGTCTTCTCATGTCTTTACTTGCATCCACAGAGCAATGGAATACAGAGCCATCGTAACCGTGCCCTCAACCCGATTAAAACCAGTGAATCAGTGACACCAGAAAGACAAAAATCCATGTCAATGAGCTTTGTGTTTACATCCCATATCAAAGCAGCCAATAGATCCGGGGAGGTATTTGAGTGCAAATATGAGCCACATGTGGAGATCTGAAAGTCCCGACTTCAAAAAGCCTCAATGAGAAAGGGGCACGACAAGCCACATGAGGTCAACATTTGGCATCGCAATCACTCACACCTTCATGCACGACGCGCGCACGCACACAAATGTAAGGATGCGAGACTTTACAATCGGCTACGTATGAGCCTTTTGAAATTCTATTCCAACAGCCTGCAGGTGTGTTGATCTTGGAGTGTGACAACCAACGCAATCTATTTTGATTGCGGCAAAATCTGAACACCATTGCTCCATTATTGCAAATCTAAAAGAGGAACAGATGGGAAGCCGTGGAGCTGAAAAAGTCAGGCCCAAAACTGCAGTCGAGTCTCCAAAATCCACCACGCAATCGAGATCGACCTGCAATTTGTTTGGATTTGGAAGCAGTTTTATCCAAAGAACGGAAAGGACACAGAAAGTACTGTCACCATTATAAAACTTAAATAAATATACAGGCAATTTTAAGTAAAATCCTTACATTCATGCAAGTGTAAAAATAAGATCATCATAATGTAATCCTGATTTGCATCGCAAATGCATCTCATTTATATTATTTTTGTACTTGTTTTACATGTAAAAAAGAAAAAAGTTAACTGTTTAATCATAGAGTGTTGCCTTGAGATGTAAATGACTGGACATTCAGCAAAAATTTGAGATACAAGCGCTGAATGGTAGCAGCAGTTTGCTAGACAGAAAGGTTAAAAAAAGCTTCAAGTTGTTTATTGCCACTCCAGTTAAAGTTTATTGTAAAACTAAATATAAAACAAAGAGGCAGCAAGACAGGTTGACACAATAAAAGAAAACTCACTGCCACATTCTTTATCCTCTGTGAAGAATGACGAGTATAACTGCCACTTACTGAGGAGCAGTAACTGTCTCCATATACTTACTTGTATTTCTGTAGTATAGTGCCCCCAAGTGGCCAAGGCGCACACACCATAAAGAGCAGCACATTGTCCAATGAATTGAAGCAAAAAATGGAAAAAAAAACAAATAATTCTTTATATTCTATTTAATGATGTCATTACCGCACGTTTTTAATAAACTATGGTATTTTTCTTATTTGAAAGCATGTCACAAAAACATTTGGTGGTATTTTTTAGGGGGCGTACTTGGGATGGATAAATGACATTTTCATTCATTTCAATGTGCAATGATGATTTACAATATGCATGTTTTGAGTCCAAAACCTGCGGGACTTCAAATAAACCTGACATTCAACCAGTCCGCGGCATGTTCTGTGCTATTGTTTTGTGTTGCCAGTTTGATGCCTTGGTACGTTTCCGGTACTGTGTCTAAATACACTCATCCTCTCTGGTCCCAGAAGCATCTGCAAGCGTATTTTGTACAACGGGACGGCAACAAATAGATTAGCGGTGATTTACAGCCCATATGTGCCTTTGAAGACTAAAGACGGATGCTAACAGTATGAGATTAAATATAA